ATTTTAGCCATCCCTACATTTACTTCCTTTTTTGGAAAAGGTTTTTTACTTTTATCAGTAACATTCTACTGAATCTAAAGATACAAATATCAGTTTAGTTGACAAATCTAAAGAGTTTAATCAGTTCAATCAGTCTTCTAGTTTACAATTTCTCTGTTGGGAAAAAGAACAGATGAAGACAGGTTTTGAGACTTCTTGTAAATTTCCAGTGTTTATTTCCAGTATTAAACTATTTACCTCTGACACGTTTTAGTATCATCTCTATTTCTTTATATACTTAGTTTTTTGCTCTATATAATCATTGTATTTATAATGACTAGAATTAAATCTGACGCGAAGCTATGTTCCAGTACACAAAACAAAAAACTCGAAAACCACAGCGTATTCGAAAATTAAGGCATTAATAGTCTACCTTGTACAAAGTCTCCCAGTGGCACAAGTGTATATCTGCGGACTTGCAAAGCTAGAAACCGAGTTTCGATATCCGTGGTGGGCAGAGTACAGATAGCCCATTATGAAGCTTTGTGCTTAATTACAAACAAACCTTCTGAAAGTGTTAAGGTTATTGGTTTCTTGTTTTGTGATATACATACTCGTATATTTCATCTTATACCCAATTAGTTTTGTGTCTGTATATATCACCTACTAGTTAATTTTGCATAAAGAAGAAATTGAAAGCTATACACTAAAATTTATCCAAAAGAAATATATTTGAAAAAAAAACAGCAGTAGTACAATAGATTTGATGGAATACATTCAGGTCAATATAATTTACAAATTTCCTGACATAAAATCACAGAAAGCTAATGGGACAAGATCCTTTTATTTTGGTATCTAAAGAAACTACTAACAACAGGCGCTTTTTATCAGTTTCAGAACAAATAGCTGTGTTCTTCAGAATAAAACTGTTATGCCTCTTCGTCGATTTAAAAGCAACAATGAATGATTATTTAATTCACTAGAATATAAATAAAGTTTTTTTCAGGCACTTCGATTTTGAATTCCAAGATGTGTTTAATATCTTCACGGCTTCTCGCAATCTGGAATAATGAAGAAACGTTGGTTTTTGTTACAGGAATTTGAAAATGAAATATGGAAGAAACACAAGTTTCTAGACTGATTTCTAGACCATAATGCTACTTACTTTTCTTGGTTCAGAGCTTATCTGTAAACATTGGCAGTAAGTTGCCACTTAGTAAATAACTTTAGTATACATAAAATGATCTAGATTATTCAATATTCTCTAAATAAATAACAAAAATGTTGAAAAATCAAGAAAGTCTAATATAGTAGTGTTTTCTAGAGCTGTTCAAGACACTTGTGTTGATTAACTATAGCCAGTTTAATAGGGTTTGATTTCATGAAAGATATTTATCAGTTGAGATTCTGTCTTTAACATGAGAAATTATGTAGGACAGAAAGAAAAATTAACTTACAAATTAAAGATGCTAAATGTACAAAACAAACTGATTATAAGAAACTCCCACAACTATAAATCAACACTTAGGAAAACTAAACCTTATAATGTTTAAAATGCATTGAATCATATAATTTGGTCAACTTAGCTCTTAACTATATTTTAAGATGTATTTACAATACTATCTCACGAGACTTAACCAGCTAAACAGATTTAGGGTAATCCTAAATCCATATTCTAAGCTAAATTGACTTATAATTTCTGTCTCTACTATCGACACTAGGTTTTTGTCTGTTTGATTGGTGTATGACAAAGTTACCGAAGCTGCCTGCTGTCATTCCTACTTTGAACTGCCGACCAGAGGGAAGGCAGTCGGCCGGCAACACCCATCGCCAACTCTTGAATGCATTTTTATCAATAGATAGTGGTATTGACCGTCACATTATAACGCCCTACGGCTGAAAGGGAGAGCGTATTTGGCGTCTCGATTTGATACCGCGACCACCAGATTGCGAGTCTATCCTAATCACCAGGCCCTTGACATTATGTGGATACTATGTTAACACTTTACCCGAATTCTAAAAATAAAATTTTGGAAATCCATTCAAAAGATACAAATAAAATATCAGATACCATGGTTTTACCAACATACAGCACTCAGTTAACGTTGTCAATAGTGCAGAAGTGAAATGTAAGTAATTATCTATTACGAGTTCATGACACTATTCAAGCTAACTTTGTTTGGCTGTAATTATTTATCTTTGTCTACAAATATTTATTGAAATATTCGTTTCTTCCCTTCACTTGACGCCCTTCCCCCATAGCTCAGCAGTAAATCTGAGGACTGATAACGTTAAAAATCAAGTTTTGATACTAGGCACAGCACAAATAGCCCATTCGGTAGCTTTTTGGCTAAACAACACACAAAAAAAACTCACCATTATTAACAAATTGAATGTGCTCTGTAACTTCATGTGGGATCGTGACGTAATGGTCTTTTTGTATTTATTGAGATGTCAGAAATATTTTAACATATCATTAACAAAGCAGTTTGTTCAAATAAAAAATAAATAAATCTCAAGTGATCGCATCCCTTTTCGTAAAACGTTACTGGTTGAATTTCACGAGCTTACACTAGAAAGGTGTATAACTTAAAATAGATTTCTGCATATCTTAGTAGTACTTTATATTGACTTGAGAAAATTAACAAAATACTGTAACAATTTAAATACAGAGGGAGAAAGAAAGAGAAAGATGAAAGTTACACAGTTTATCATCCTTTTCTTGGATAGATACTTCAACATGTTGATTTGGGCCAGATGGTTAGGGAGCTCGACTCGCAATCTGCGGGTCGAGAGTTCGAAACCCTGCCCCACCAAACATTCTTGCAATTTCAGCCGTGGGGGCGTTATAAAGTAACGGTCAATCCCACTATTCGTTGGTAAAAGAGTAGTCCAAGAGTTGGCGGTGGGTGGTGATAACTAGCTGTCTTCCCTCTAGTCTTACACTGCTAAATTAGGGACGGCTAGCGCAAATAGCCCTCGTGTAGCTTTGCGTGAAATTCAAAACAAACAAACTGTTGACGTGAAAAACATGACGTTTTTTTAAAACTCAGTTTATTTAGATTAGTTCACCATAATCTACGTTTGTGTAACTCTTAAGTAGATGTACTTATATATTTTGACAAATTCAGATGGAGAAACTAACAAAAACAAAAGGAAAACAAAAGGTAACTAGCTTATTAAATTTTTTAATTTGTCACCATGAAAAATTTTCTTTCTTCTCAAAGAATATTCCTTTGACGTTTTGATTCTTCATATTTGTTCATTTGTTGTTCATGTCTGATTACAGATGTCAAGTTTGAAAAAACACGACTGTATGCTTGTTAAAATTAATGATAACGTTAGCTAAGTTGAAAAATTCAATAGCAACTGGATTGAGTAACTTTTCAGGCTATCTTAAATTTAAGTGACTGTTACTTGATTTTAAACATGCCTATTTCGTCAGTATCTGATTAACAGAACTGACCTCTTCGTCACTGTTATCCCACAACCATCTAAACCACTACACGGATAGCTGTAGATCGACCCTGACCGTTGTTACAGAACTGATACTTACAACACACTTCACATCTTTCTTCGTCACTGTTATCCCCACAATAATCTAAACCTCTACACATGATAGCTGTAGACTATCCCTGACCATTGTTACAGAACTGATACTTACAACACACTTCACTCCTTTCTTCGTCACTGTTGTCCCCACAACCATCTAACCCACTACACAAGATAGCTGTAGACCGACCCTGACCGTTGTTACAGAACTGATACTTACAACACACTTCACACCTTTCTTCGTCACTGTTGTCCCCACAACCATCTAACCCACTACACAAGATAGCTGTAGACCGACCCTGACCGTTGTTACAGAACTGATACTTACAACACACTTCACACCTTTCTTCGTCACTGTTATCCCACAACCATCTAACCCACTACACAGGATAGCTGTAGACTATCCCTGACCATTGTTACAGAACTGATACTTACAACACACTTCACACCTTTCTTCGTCACTGTTGTCCCCACAACCATCTAACCCACTACACAGGATAGCTGTAGACCGACACTGACCGTTGTTACACTGATATCCATTGCTAGGGCACTTTTCACCTAAAACAGAATAACGAATATTCAAGCAAGTTTGTGACAATAGCAAAAAGTTTTAACAGTTATCGAGAACTGAAATCAGTACTTTCTTAACTTTTTAAATGTAAAAAATGAGATAAAAAAAGTAATTAAAACTAAGCAAGAACAAACTTGTTTATCTAACATTTATACAAGGTTAACAGTGAAACACGAGAGAACAAACTTGTTTATTTATTATTTACACAAGGTTAACAGTGAGACACGAGAGAACAAACTTGTTTATTTAATATTTACACAAGGTTGACAGTGAGACACGAGAGAACAAACTTGTTCATGTAATATTTAAACAAGATTAATAGTGAGACACGAGAGAACAAACTTGTTCATGTAATATTTACACAAGGTTAATAGTGAGACACGAGAGAACAAACTTGTTCATGTAATATTTAAACAAGATTAATAGTGAGACACGAGAGAACAAACTTGTTCATGTAATATTTACACAAGGTTAATAGTGAGACACGAGTGTTTCCAACACTTACATCATGCACTTTCGGCAGAACAAATTTTACTATTTAAACGGCTTAATATAGATATTGGAAGAAATCAATCAGAGAACAACAAATTATATATTTTGCTGAAATTTAAATGTATTTTCTTCTTGAGGCAATATCAGGTCACACCAAACAATAAACATGGAACTTCATAACGGCCCCATGAACAAAGAACTACTTTATAATGCCCTCTTGAACATGAAACTGTTCCGTAACGGCCTTGTAAGCATGCAACTGCTTCATAACGGCCCCTCGCACATAGAACTGCTTTATAATGCCTTCTTGAATATGGAAGTGTTCCGTAACGGCCTGCCTCATAAACATGGAGCTTCTTCATAACGGCCCCATGAACAAAGAACTACTTTATAATGCCCTCTTGAACATGGAACTGTTCCGTAACGACCTCGTAAGCATGCAACTGCTTCATAACGGCCCGTCGCACATAGAACTACTTTATAATGCCCTCTTGAATATGGAACTGTTCCGTAACGGCCTACCTCATAAACATGGAACTGTTTTTAACGGCCTCTTGAATATAGAACTGCTTTATAATGCCCTCTTTAATATGGAACTGTTCCATAACGATCTCGTAAACATAGAACTGTTCCATAACGGCTTCTTGAATACGCAACTGTTCCATAATAGCCCCTTGAACATATAACATCTTCAAAACGGCCTCTTGAATACGGAACTGTCCCAAAACGACACCTTGAGCATAGAACTGTTCCCTAACGGTCTCCGACGTTTGATTTAGGAGTATCTGCAGCAATACTGTGACTCAAAAATATCAAAAATTAAAGCTCTCAAAATATCTATATTTACCTAAATAATAAGTACGTCCATCCATCAATGTTTGATATTCCTGAACTATAATGATGCTACAGACACTGCTTAACTAGAAAAGGGCAATACGTTTCGTTTTCATTAATAGTTTGTTAACTATATTTCATCTAGATGGCAAGTACATCTATTGGCTTACTGAATCCTTTTATCAAGCTGTGAGTACAATTTCATCTCTGTGACTTACTTTAATTTGAAATGTTATATAACCAATTAATACTTTACTCACCTTTTGCGCACATGGCTTCAAACTCGTCGCTTCCATCTAAGCAGTCTGTTACTGCGTTGCATAAAACAAACTGTGGAAAACACTGACCATTTGCACATTGAAAAGAATGTTTATCACAGGATATTCCTAGGAAAGACCAGAGTCATACATTAGCAAGATATTTACTTTGTATCTTGAGTTATAAAGACAACAGGAAACAAGTTACGAGCGATACATAGCCAGGCAGATGCAACAAACAACCTTAAGTCTGTTTCATATTGACTATGATTCATTTAGAAAGTTTGGTGATTGTTTTAAACGCTCCTATATGAGTACTCGGAAGGCTTATTGTTGTAGTTAATGTATGTATTTTTTCTTACAGCAAGTAACTTGAAAACGCTACAAGTCGACTCAAAATTGGCTTGAAGTTTAACAACAATAACCACCTAAACGACATAAGGTTTTAATCTGTCCAAAACTTTCTGACTTTGTTTGGGATTTTAATTGGGCCAGAAGCCACTGGACACACTAACCTTGAATTTCTACAATTTCGAGAATGCTAGTATCGTCTGTTCATATGTTTGTACCCTAGACATGCGCAGTGGTTCTGCTCTCATTGAATGATATCAATAACCAATCATCTTCTTCATAAATAAAGACTGTTTGGTGGAATATATATATAACATTTCATAAATACTAGTCATATGATTTTCACTAATTCCTTATCTTCCACATTTTCCACCACACAAATACAGTAATGGCTGTTCTCAAATTTTGAAACAAGCAGCTTTTCTTGTAACTATATTTTTACGTAATACAGCGCTACATGAAAACATAAGCTACATTTTTACGGAATACAGCGCTACATTAATTTCATGATTATCACTTTGGTTAGGGTTAGTTAAGCAGTTGTGTCCCCGGGGGAAATATTATGTCTATAAAAAGCATGAGCTACATAGTAATGGGTTGAAGTAACTACAGTCTGTTATTTTTGTTAATTATTTCATTATATATCAACTAATGATTATATGTTCACCTTTATAACACCTGGCCTCGTCGCTGCCATCTGGACATTCCCATTTGCCATTACACACTGCTGATCGGGAGAGACATGTCCCGTCATTACACTGAAAAGTTTGCAGTGGACATTCTAGAAAAGAACATTGAATGACGTTATAAAAGTGTGATAATATAAATTTTGCTAGAAGCACAACAGTTAATTGCTGATCTGGAGAGAAATGTTGTGTCATTATACTGAAAAGCTTGCAGTAGGCAGTTTAAAAAAGAACATTGAATGGGCGTTATAAAAATGTGGGCAGTCTAAAAAAAATTCTAAATGAATATTACAACATATTATAATAATACGATTTTTTAGAAGTACAACAGCGAATAATTTTATAGACATATGAATTCAGCGTCAACTCGAATAAAACTTAAAATTCAAACACTGTAAGCGTTGCTTACACGATATTGACTGGATTCAAAAGCTGACACCGAGAAAAGCATTAAGCCTACTAACATATGTATGCCTATGCAAACATACTACCTACCTTAGAAAGAGCTCGTAATCCTGGGAAAACGTTGTTATCTCTGTTGAATGGGCTTGAAACTTATCATAAAAAGTGCTTTTAATTGACTGTAACGTTCTATATTAAAAACAAAAAGTACAAAAATCTGGAAAGTAAACCAGCTTATCGAGATGTTTGTAACCATGTATACAGCTTTTGTATTTCTAAAAATAAAAGGATTACCTTACCAAAAAAATGGCATTTTTGGATATGCTGAAATATATACAGACACACACACATATATCTATATATATAACAACTGAATCCATGTATGTATGTTAAAAGTCTGAGAGTTTAGTATATAATTAAAAATTTAAGTTGTATAAGGGCTCCAGAAATACGTAATTCAAGGAATTTAAGTTTTATAAGGGCTCCAGGAATACGTAATTAAAGGAATTTAAGTTGTATAAGGGCTTGAAACGAGAGAGTTTCCTTGTAAGGCTAATTTTAAACCACAATTTTATGTTTTCTTCTGTTTCTTCTGGAGAATAATTGAACAATTTAGTAACAGCTGCGATATTATGTGACAGTTTTCTTAAAATAAACAGAAACTACATTCATACAAGTAGAATTTTGATATATGCTAGCTCCTAAGATGACAAATACTGAGCTGCGGATGTCGGGTATAAGGTCTTGTGTTTTTCTTTGCAGTTCCTGTTTTGCAGGATAAAGGTTCTCCTGTTGAAGTTGTTTCCATCGGAAAAACGTGCGTAAGAAAAGCTGAGTGCCAAGCTCGAGATCCGTACAGTACATGTATTAATGGAAGCTGTCAATGTCTATCAAAAACATCATTTTGTAACGCAAAGAACACAAGTAAGTCACTGGAATCTGGTTAGATTTTACTACTATTGCATGGATGAATTTTAACTAAAAGTAGTACATTCCAGTAACAATGCGACTACATAAAAGTAAAAGTTTATATTTAGCCACGATGAGAAATTATTGTTTCAAATATATATATATATATGCCTGTGTTTGAAAATTAGCATATTTATGCTAACGAAACAAATTTATCCGGACACGTTTTGGATAACTTCGTACAACTTTTATTTTTAAAACTGCAATTCACAAACCCGTATTACAATATTAACAGAATTTTTAACTTCTCAATGGTTAAGCCTGCACTATTTTTATTCTATAAGATATTTTTATATTTATTGATGTTTTGAGGTGTCTAGTAAACAAACATCTCAAACTCGCCTTAATGTGTCACAGTTTAAAAATGGAAAGCTTTTAAGATTGTTTTAGTCAAACATCATCTTCACTATTGTAAAAGTCCTATGTAGTATTCTGGTATTACTGAAGTTTCAATTTCATATTTTTCATTGACTAAATGGTGTTATTGGGATTTGTTGAAAGGATGATATTATAGATATTATTACAAACTCTAGTTCTTTTCATGCCAAACTTTAAATTATACTAGGAAAGGTCCCCGTGTCACACGCAGCATTATTTCGTTGGCTTCACGGGAATGGCGGGACGGCGAGCAATTGCAGGTTTACCGAATGCTGATGTAATATTTTCTAGAAACTCGCTTTTACTGGCCAGCTTCCTCATACTAATATCTACCGAATACTGATGTAACATTTTCTAAAAACTCGCTTTTACTGGCCAGCTTCTTCATACTATTATCCACCGAATACTGATGTAACATTTTCTAGAAACTTGCTTTTACTGGCCAGCTTTTTCATACTAATATCACTACTTAAGCATTTACTTACCTTGTACCTTTCAGATGTTCTGGAGATATGGACTACACCCAAGAACTCCCGAATGTTTCAAAGTTCGGGAAGTAGGCAGTAAAGCAATAGAAAGAAGAAATTTAAATGGCTGTAAAACTCTTAAAAACGAGAAAGCGAGTAAAGAAATGGATTCCAGAATCCTTCTGGTCATACACAAGAACAGCCCGGCATGATCAGGTGGTTAGGGCGCTTGACTCGCAATATGAGGGTCGTGAGTTCAAATCCCCTTCCCACGAAACATGCTCGCTCTTTCAGCTGTGGGGGCACTATAATACAACGGTCAATCCCACTATTTGTTAGTAAAAGAGTAGCCCAAGAGTTGGCGGTTGATGGTGATGACTAGCAGCCTTCCCTCTAGTCTTTCACTATTATATTAGGGACGAATAGCGCAGATAGCTCTCGTGTAGCTTTGTGCGAAATTCAAAACAAACCAAACTATACTCGAGAATCATTGTATTCTGAGCTCGTGAAATAGACCTCAAGTTATTGGTATGTAGAAAATTGAAATGTCTGTCAAATAAGAATGGGAAAATATATAAAATAAATGATTCTATAAACCCTCTGGAATATTTCCAAGAATCTCTGAAAGTTCCTTGGTGACCACAGGTCGAAACTTTTCGTCCCTGGCAGACACACAGACAGAGGTCACATTATAATATAGAGGACCAAGATAGAATGATAATTTCCATAATTTGTTCTCGTAATTTTCATTTGAATTTTATTAACATTTTTAATTATATACTAAACTCTCAGACTTTTAACATACATATATGGATTCAGTTGTTATATATATAGATATATGTGTGTGTGTCTGTATAAGTGATTTAAAAGCATACGTATACCTTGGTAAAGTTTGAAACTGGCAGGGTTGGGATTCAGTGGGTATAGAATTGCTTATTAATTTCCATATGGTTTTATTTTGTTATTTTCTGTTTAATTTTATGAAACTGTTTGTTTTAATTTTATGAAAAAATCTCTCAGGTTGTCACAAAGACACGTTTCAGTGCAGAAATGGCCAGTGCATCTCCTGGTTCTTCGTGTGCGACGGCCAGAAGAACTGTGTTGATGGCAGTGACGAAAATGAATGTGTACGTTACAGTGAGTACACTTAACACATTAATTAACAACATTTTAAAACTATACTTTTGTTGATATACACTTCCTTGAATTACGTATTTCTGGAGCCCTTATACAACTTAAATTCCTTTAATTACGTATTCCTGGAGCCCTTATACAACCTAAATTCCTTGAATTACGTATTCCTGGAGCTCTTATAAAACTTAAATTCCTTG